ATTTGTTCAGACAACAAGGCATTGGGTCGTCTGCCAATACCCCAGATTTTGTTTGAATGAATCGGCGACCGGGGGTGGAGATGAATATCTTTGATGGAGCGATAGAGATTTCAGCTGTGTTGATACGGACAAACGGGGTTAAAGAAGGATGACATTTTGGGACTGTCTAGATTTTGAATTCTTTTATAGTTATTACCATAAATTTAGGCCTGATGAATGGAAAGTCAGTCTAGTAAAAATAAAATGAGTAGGTTTCTATATACGGCTGATAAAAAGGGGGAAATATGGGCATAGTGATGATGAAAAAGAAATATGAAAGTGGAAAACGTAATGGAGAAAAATTTTCGGGCATATTCCCTCTGCTCCATTTCCGTTTTACTTTGTGTCTTGTTCTCATTCTGCTCCATCTAAACCATTCTCTGTCTGGTTGGCTCCTCTCTTTCTCACCTTTTCCAGTTTTTTTTTTATCGCTCTTTCTATTTGTTTTCCTTTCTCTTTCTTTTCCCCTTCTCTTTTCTCACTCTCTCCTCACCCCTCCCCCTCTCTCCGCCCTTATCTCTCTCTCTCTCTCTCTCTCTCTCTCTCTCTCTCTCTCTCTTTTTCAATTCCTTCTCCCCCATCTCTCTGTATCTGTCATTCCCCCTCTCTCTCTCTTTCTCCTCTGTTCTCCTACTTCCTTAAATCCCGCTTTTCACGATCTCTCTGAACATCAACCTTGATCCCTTCTTCGTTTCACTCCATTTTAGCATTGCTACGTTAATTGTCATTTTGCAAAATCATACGAACATGGCCACCGATCTATTTCAGGACTCTCCATTTTAAACTTTAAGAAATACCGTTTCATTCATTCCTCGCACGCACAATGAATAACCGTCTCCAGAAGCACGATTCTCTAAAACCTCTTAGATCGGTAGAATTACATTTGACCTTGCCTTATATTCTCAAACAATGAAAGCGACTCCGTTTCATACAGCCATAATTAAGCAAACAAGTGCATTCTTTTTTCCATCTCCATTCGTCTACAAACAAGAGCATATGTTTTGTTTTCTTCTCTAGCTCTCCATTCGTCTTTGATCATAAATTCCAATGGCAAACTTATTTCTTTTGAATGAACCACCCTACATGCTCTCTCCAGAGACGTGGATTTAATGAAATGTTTCAACGTATACAATATGTCATAAATTTGTGTAATCCATAAGGGCTTGGGCAAACATGGACCAACATTTGAAATGTGACTCTCATATCACCATGCATTGTAGTTCTCATTTAGTGCCCTTTGGAAGAACATACCATTACTGCAGCAGCGACGCCAATGCAAGCAGGCATGGTTGGTAAGATATCATGTATTTTTGTCAAAATGATATATGTTTTTTTTTTAATTATAAAAAAGAGAATGTCTGAATGCCTTGATTTCGGATGAAATAATATTGTCACGGGTCATGGTATCTTCTCCACATTTCTTTGCTACTATAAGAGTAGTTATTCATTAGTTCATATTGTTTTAAAGGTACGAAGTGGGGCAGAGGGGGGGGGGGGTGCAGCCCCCTCGAGAATCTTAAATTTGTCGATTTTCGGGCAGGCCTCATCTTTAGGTAGCTATGACATAGTCTTTTTGAATTTTTTCTGCATTTTAAACATCTGTATTAAACATAATAATATTGCGTATGCCTATTTTGTCCGAAATGTAGAATCTAGAAGCTGGTACTTGGGCAAATAGACTTCAATCTCTACAGGCTCTAAACTACTTTAGGCACATGCGCCTATACCCGCCTTCGTAAAAAATTACATCCTCTATTTCAACAACGATACCAATTAGGATTAGGATTAACTTGGGTGGTTTTATAAACGCCGCCCCCTCCATTACACCCTTCGCCCATCAAGATCTGACCGCGCCCCATCCTGATCTGATCGAGTACGAGAAATCTCCGCTTTCATTCACAAAACAGCCCCCTCTATAAATCCCAGAACAAACAATCATCTTATAGAATGAAATTACATCACGTTGTGTTTTCAATGCGTTTTGATTGAACACGACAGAAGTCAATTTCTTCAGGGGATGATATATTCACTGGGGGATTAGAGGTCAAGTCCCTGTACTGCAACAACAGATGAATGAATCGGATGTCTGGCTTTGAGACGCTTTCCGTTTTAAAACTTCAGTTAAAAAAAAAAATAACTAAAAAAAGTGATATGGTACACACAAATTCTAAGAAAAATTTCAGTGTTTAAAAAAAAACAGCGAGTAACAAAAATGGAAATATGCTATTAAAATCATTACATCAAATCATTTGTCATAAAGATGTTCCCTATGTTTATAACAAGCTTCATGAAAAATGGTCCAGATTAATGATTTTCATCAAATAAGTCGAGTAGAAAAAAAAAGTCTTTGTCAACTGGACAAATTGGCGTATTTTGCTCTGAACCTTGTTTCGTTTCGTCATTGCTTCACATATTCTAATATTATTTTTGTTCATGCATGTACGGTTAAGCATATTTCACATCATTCAAATACTTTCATTTCTCATTTCAAAATATGCACGTGTGTCGCGTGCGAACGGCATCATGTTGCGAAGAATCCGTTATCCGTTTTGCACGAAATTTGTTTGACTACGTGCAGAGTCTCAAACCTTTTGCGTGGAAATGTGACATTAATGTCCTATTCAACAATGATCATGATGAATATGTGGTGTACTCGGGTGTGATGCTAATGCGAAAAACATATTTATACGGGTGGTATGTTTTTATCTTTCTCTTCATTTTAGCAGGAAAACAGTTGAACTGCAATGAAAATGTCAGTACGAAATAATTTGAAAACATGCCAATCGAATATTGCTTTCTTTGCAGCTAGGCAATTCTCCCTCTCCCTTTTTTGTTTTGGTTTTATTTTTTGCTTTTGACAGGATTTGGTCCGAGTATCCGACACAATCTTGACAGCGGGGACTTAAGTTGGAACTGACCAACTAGAGAGCAAGGTGTTCTGCCCCCAATCGAACCCCCTCCCCTCCAAAAAAAAGAGAGAAAAATAAGGAAATTGTTTTATTTTTTTTGTAAGGGGGAGCGTACGTAAAAAGAAGTACGTCGACAGTACCCTTTGCTTTTTACACCCTGCCCTAATTGATAGTCTGATTTGTTCACTCACATTAAACCAACTAGTGAGACGGGCGCCACCCCCGCCCCATGACTCCACTGCTCCCTCAATCGCTGCATCAATGGCTACGCCACTGGTACAAAAATAATATCACCAAAGACCCAAGTTCATTCACAAATCACAATCAGTACACAGCCAAACAAACGTCATCGAGCGACTCCTGCTCTTTTATAATAACTCGTTACAATATTGCGACCAACAGACGATCGTAAAAACAACAGGGAGTCGTAAATCTGCACAGAGTCGTAAACTATACCCCAAATCATCGCTCACAAGACATGTTATTTACACGTTTTCAGCTTTTTTACATAAACATTGCGACACGGGAAAAGGGCACTGACGACAAGCGAGATAGAAATTCAGAGAAATTTGACAAAGGCAACAGCGAGAGTGAACTTTTATAGTTGATACAAGTATTTAATTCCGTTTTAATTCATCTGGCAAAGCGAGTGAAGAAGGCAATAATTAAATAGGGTTGAGATACACCATAGTGTACATCTGTGTTTAGCGGAGTGTAGTAGGTGCTCTGAGCCTAGAAACATTTAGCCTCTTGTCGATGCCTTCGCTGTTAACAGTAAAACTAGGCATTACATTGAAATATCCACAGAAAACATTGTCATCATTTCTTTTAAACGCTTTTCCTTTCAATTTTCCCGACACACACACACACAAAAAAATTTTGAAACTCGAGAAACGTTAAGATTTAGCGGAACTCAAACATATTAAAAAAACACTGCTTGAATTAATCTTCATGATATACTAGCCATCACTCTTATACCTGAATAGGACAGTGAAAACCAGTCGACTTACAATCGAAAGATAAAATACCGTATAACATTTTTCTAAGCGAATTAATTAGTCGTAACAGTTTACTTCCCAGAAAAAAAAGTAGAGTTCAGTGCAAATACGTCATACCACTTAAAATACCAATTTTTAAACGACCCTTCAATATACCTTAACTATTTGCTGTGCAGAAATTCTTCACATTTCATGCATATCTTAGCGAGTCCATCACGAATGTTATTCGATAAATCTTAAATGTTTATTTTAACATAACCACCATTTTCGAATATTTAACAATACAGAAATATGCTTTCATTTATTCCGATTTTGTTTTTTCATCCCCAAGTAGTTTTGCTCGTTATGATGTGAAGAATTCGTTTCATAGATCCAACTTATCTTGATTAAAGAACGCTTCAAAGTGCTTTACTGAACTACAGAAAAAGTGCACTTTGGTAAAATTATGACAACACATTACGAATTTAAGTTGTTTTGTTCTGTTTTTATGCAGCTCATCTGATGCTTCCACAATTGTAATTGTTGTGTGTTTCTATTTATTGTTATGTATAACGATTAAAGCCAATGAATTATGCTCGCAAAGTGCTTCGACCTGCAAAGCCACTCGTACTTGTTATCATTAATTTCCTTTCCCTTCGCAGTATGTACTCCAATAATCGCAAGGATTCAGCTATGGTAGGGGAAATTGCATAGGAGGAGGGGGGGGGGGTGAAATTAAGTGGATGGATATTATGAAAGAACAAGTATTTAGGCCTACAATGAGGGGAGAGCGAAGAAGGGTGTCATAGCATCTATTCACATTACCTTAACCATCTCCCTTTCTTTTCCTACCATTTCATTTTTGGAGATGTTGCCGGGGATGTTGCCCCCCCCCCCGCCCTCCCCCTGTGGCTACGCCAATCTACTCCATGTCGAAGAATGTTCCGCTGATAAGTATGATGATGTGCTGTTAATGGCGTGACTCTTACGAGAAGACGCGATTTGTTCTCGTCTCTTGTTACCCGACTCCGTCAGTTCCTTTTACGTATCATCCAACAAATTGCCCGCCTACCAA